GTCCCCACGTGCATGGCGGGATTCCATCCTCCCGTGCTCGACAGGGACAAAGGCCGCGTTCCCTGGGTGGGTCCAGAGAGGCGCGGGGGCGGGGACCATTGCCATGGTAATCTGACATTAAGTCTCGGGTTACCACGGGAACATGCCCAGCTCTGTACTTAAGGCAGAGCGATGCCCCCGTCCCTAGTATATCGCCTAGCTGCTGTCCCTGCTGTGTGAGTGAGGTCTGAGCTGCGGACCAGCCTCCTCATTGATCAGATCCTTTCCTCCTCTCACTGGCTCCCCTGCCTGCCAGTCTGCTGCTGGATCTCTCCCCTGTGCGGACTTAAACCCTTTGCTGCCCGTGAGCCTGGCGGACTTAACCCTTCCCTGCCTGGAGCTGCCTGTGTGGATTGACCCTGTGTTGCCGGTGTGGACTGTAGCCCTTCGTGTCCGGCTCCCCGCATCCAGTAAGTGGACTAACTCCGTGCTGCCCGAAAGACTGAGGCCCAATTCTCCCCAGGAACCCCAATTCCCATGGAACCTTTGCCCCTCTGTCCAATTGAACCCTGTGGACTATCGGCCCCCTGTTGTCCCATATTGCCTTCTAGAGAACTTTACTGTGTTGCTGTGTCTGGTGTGGATCTGTGGATAAACGGATCTATTGTCTGTACCCCGAAAAACTCCCCAATAAATGTCTGCACGTCGGGTTCTGTGCAGTCGCTCCAAGTCTGCATATGATGGACACGGAGGCCCCGGAATATCGACAATGGATGGCAACCAGCTTACAAGAAAAGGCCAGAACTTTGGACCTCAACTACAGGGGACTTAACAAAGATCAGCTGGTCCAGATGCTGGAGGAAGCCAGCCAATGGTGACGGGAACAGTCGAGCACAGACGGGCCAAGCGGTCTCGAGGAAGATGACCAGAACTTCACAGCACAAGCGGCAAGAGCCCTTGGGTCATCTGGTATGAGGAAGAGATGGCCATTCTAGGGGAGGATGCCACCATAGATAGAAAGATGGCGGCCATTGAAAAAGGCTCAAAAAGAGACAAACCGAGTGGGAAGCTGCAAAGAACCAAGCAGCTGCTCCTGTGGCTGTCCCTGTGGCTCAGTGTTAGTGGGGTACCCCGAGGTTCAGTGTTATTAGTGGGGTACCCCAAGGTTCGGTGTTATTTGTGGTGTACCCCAAGGTTCAGTGTGATTAGTGGGGGTACCCCCAAGGTTCAGTGTTGGGACCCTTACTTTATAATACATTCATAAACAATATGGGTGTGAGATTATAAATCCCACTCAGTGTTTGCAGATGACACCAAGCTGTGCCGGGGATAACGTCCTTACAGGATGTCTCCAACTTACATCCGACCCTCAATGCTCTGTGTAATTGGGGGTAAGAATATGCATCAGATGTACAGTGAAGGAAATGCATATTTGCTCCCCTCTGATGGTGAATGTTTCGCCCCTCACACAGAAATGATCGGTCTAACAATGGAATGTTCGCCCCTCACACAGAAATGATCGGTCTAACAATGGAATGTTCGCCCCTCACACAGAAATGATCGGTCTAACAATGGAATGTTCGCCCCTCACCACAGAAATGATCGTCTAACAATGGAATGTTCGTAAAACCCCCTCACACAGAAATGATCGGTCTAACAATGGAATGTTCGGTGTAACACTGAGAGACAGAATACAACAACAAATTCAGCAGAAAATGCGTCTAACAAATTATGCAATAATAATAATCAAATAATAAATAAATATGTAAATAAATCATATATAATAAATATAACATAAAAAAATAAATACACAAATAATAAATAAAATGAACCCCTAACTAAAAAAAAAGAAATGCAAAAAATATTAAATTAAAAAGACAAAAATAAATTAACCGTAAAACCGTAAAACCTAACCCCACTAACAAGCCTTTCTCCACCTTGTCAATGCAGAGGAACCCCTGACCTAAACTTTCCGGTCTCAGTGAACCCCCCCCCCCCCCCCCCCCGGTTTTTAAAAATGACTTTTTCCTGATACGTTGGTGTGATGGTCGGACGTAGGAACGCTCCTTACATTTGTGGTCATCGGGAAGAATCACCCCCCCCCCCCCCACAGATTGCTGAGAAGATCAATGGTGTCAGTGGGAACTTACCTGAGAGGCAACAATTGCTCATTGCACCAAGGAGCTCCTGGCAACCTCTGGAGGAGTCCTGGTGGGGAAACCGTGCGCTAACCCGATCCAATATAAATAATAATAATAATTGCAAAAACAAAATACATAATTATAAAATAAATCTACCCCTAAACTCCACCCCTGACTTTAACTGGCAACCCTCAACCAGCAACTCTGACCGAAACCGAATCCCCAACCCTGACAAAGAGGAAATAAAAACAAAGATTAACCACATGCCGCCCAGCCACTGTAGAAATACGGCCGCAGGGCGGCACGGATGGCAAAAACCACGTTTTAAAACGTTGTGTTTTTTTAAAACCGGTAGGGGGCGCGTGCGAGGCGTGCTGCCGCCCTACCTGTCCCACCGATCACGGGCGCAGATGTCAGTCGCCGGGTCACAGCCGGTCGTTACCGGCTATGTCCCGGCGATCGGCGGCAATCACTGACAGAGAGCAGGGCTGCAGTAGCTGTGCTTTCTGTCAGTTCCCTGACAGCTCCAGGACACGCTGATCGGGACAGGAAGAGTTTTCTCTCCCCGATCAGCCTGTCCCCATCCAGCACAGCACCCCCCGCCCCGCCCCGCCCCGCCCCCCTAGTAAAACACTCCCCTCACACAGTTAACCCCTGAATAATAAACGTAACCCCTTTCTCCCCAGTGCCATTTAGTACAATGTCAGTGTTTTTTTTTTGCACTGATCACTGTATTGGTGTCACTGGGGATGTCAGTGACCCCAAGTCAGTATCCCCCAATGTCAGAAATGTCCGCCGCAGTCCCACCATAAGTCACTGATCGCCGCCATAAGTCCCTGATCGCCGCCATTATTAGTATAAAAAAAAAACCCTAAAAAATCCCAGTATCTTTCCCGCCATTTGTAAACGCTATAACTTTCACGTAAACCAATTAATTTACACGTATTGGGTTTTTTTTAGCACAGACATGTCGCAGAATGCATTTTGGCAGAAATTTTATGACTAAATTTGATTTTTACATTTTTTTTTACTGGACATGTTTTATAGCAAAAAGTCCAAAATATTGTTTTTTTTCTCCTTTAAAATTGTCAGCCTTTTTTTTTTTATAGCACAAAAAATAAAAACTGCACAGGGCGATCAAATACCACCGAAAGAAAGCTCAATTTGTGGGAAAAAGAAGAATGTAAATTTCATTTATGTACCGTATTGCATGACCGCGCAATTGTCCGGTAAACTAGCGCAGCGCTGTATAGAAGAAAAATGGCGTAAATTGCAGTATCTATCCCATAGTTTGTATCTCTATAACTTCCACACAAAGCAATCAATATACACTTTATTGGGATTTTTTCCCCCAAAAACATGGAGCAGAATACATTTTGGCCTAAAATTATAACCAACTTTGAGTTTACTATATAATTTTTTTATAGCTGAAAGTAAAAAATAATCGCTTTTCTTCTTCAACCTTTTTGGCCTTTTTTTGTTTATAGCGTGAAAAATAAAAAGCGCGCAGGTGATCAAATACCACCGAAAGAAAGCTCTATTTGTGTGAAAAAAAGGACGTAAATTTTTCGTTTGGGTGCAGCATTGCATGACCGCGCAATTGTCGGCTGAATTAGTGCAGCGCCGAGTAGCAAAAAGAGGCGTGGTCATTAAGGGGGGTAAAATCCTCAGGAGGGGGAGGGGTTAATAAATGTCTTATTATTTATTTATTTTGATAGATTGATAATATTAATAATAATAAATAAAATACATCATTATAAAATAAATATACCCCTAAGCTCCACCCCTAACTTCAACTCGCAACCCTCAACCAGCAACTCTGGACCGAAACCGAATCCCCACCCTGACAAAGAAACAAAAAGAAAAACTAAATCAATAATAAATGTCTTATTATGTATTTATTATTATTTTTTTATTTTAATAGATTGATGATGATAATAAAACATTAATTAACCTCTAACTCTAAACAAAAAAAATAACAAATAAATTTAAAAATAATCAAAAGAGAAGCTGATGAAAAAACAACAAAATACTGAAAAATAAATTATGAAACAGATATTTTTTTTTTTTTTTTTTTTTTCGGCTATTAAATAAAAAAAAGGCGGACCTCAAAAATGCTTTAAAATTTCTGTACAAAAACACGCAAAAGAGTACAAAAAAATGCCCCAAAAAACACTCAAAAACGCAACGCTGCGGTGTGAATGCCGCCGTGGAGGGCGACCGTGCGAGATGTTCTCTGGAATACGAGGATAATAAAGTGCGGTGCTGTGTGTGGGACGGTGGATGGTTCCAATGTCATGGAAGATATTCCGTCACACCTTTACCAGTCACCACATTCACACGGAACACGGATCACATGATCAAACTTTCTGGTCACGGGGTGAATAGTGGGTGAATCTCCCGCAGCGGGGACACAGACACAAAGTTTGGACTTTTCCTTTATGGTGGGAGGATTGTAAGGTGTGTCCAGTCCTCCAGGATCAGCAGAGGGGGGAGGGGGCTGGAATTTCGGGAATTCGCCCAGGATTAACCCCGTCCTCACCGACACAGCTCCACCTAGCTCCTGTCCACTGAAACCAGGGACTTCCTCATTTAGACCTCCTCATAGGGGTCTCCTCAAACATTTCCCCTTCCTGAGCCATGACTGCTGGATTTTGTTCTTCTCCAACTCCACACCGAAGGATAGGATCCTGATCTGAGCTGTGCGGAATCTAGAGGCTTCTTCCAGGATACTCTGCAGGATCCAGATGCACCTCTCTGTCAGGGCTCCCAGGTGTGACCAGAGGTGTGTGACTGACGCAGGGAAACGCAGACTTCAGATATGTGATAAACAATACAATTTATTAACACTAACCATACAAACATAAACGCAGTGCAATACTAAAACATAATACAGTGCAAACAAACCAAACCAAACCACCCACAGATAACAGTACATACAAGCAAGCGTCGTCAGGCAGGCCGGGTCAATATCAATAGGGCAGGTAGGGTACAGGGGGAGCAAGCGGAGAATGGTCGGGGTCACAGGCCAGGTTCAGCAGGTAGCTAAGCAGCGTAGTACAGAGGGTCAGGCAGAGGATGGTCAGGGTCACAAGCCAGGGATCAGAACAGGTAGCAAGCAGCGTGGTACAGAGGGTAACAGGCAGAGGGATGGTCAGGAGCGAGCCGGGATCAGAGCAGGAGAATTTCAGCAGCGGTTCAGATCAGGCAGGGGTGCAGCAAAGGAAACAGAAACAGGATGCAGGACTAGATACAGGGCCAAGGACAAAACACAAACACCAAGGCAGAGTCCTGCAAGTCTGGACATCCCCTTAAATACACCAGTATTCATCAGTTCCAGTTGTGTTAGCTGGTCTGAAAGGTTGAGTCTCCTGATTGCTGGAGCACCCCTGGCCAGCCCTGGGGACTTGCAGATCAAAAGGCAGGTGAAGGTCCCACCATTGCTGGCCAGTCCAATTAAAGTCCTTTACAGTACCCCACCCCCCCCTCAAGGAGCGGCCTCAGGACGCTCCAAACAGTACTAGTCCTGGACAAAATGTTCCCAACCCGCCCGGTCTGGTAAAACTGGCGGGCGGATATCAAAGACTGGCACCACGGGCAGGTGACTGCTTGGCAAGCGGCACACCCGGCAGGACTCCGGGCAGCGGCCACAACCCGGTCTGGACACCGGGGCAGAGGCACACTCGGGCCGTGACTCCGGGCAGAGGCACACCGGGCAAAGGCACTCACCGGGGGCAAGGCCAACAACCGGGCAGATGCCACATCCGGGCTGGACTCCGGGCAGAAGGCACATCGGGCAGGACATCCTGGGCAGAGGCACATCGGGCCAGGACTCCGGGCAGATGGCACATCGCGGTCAGGACTCCGGGCAGAGGCTCAATCGGGCAGGACTCCGGGCAGAGGCACAACGGGCAGGACTCCGGGCAGAGTGCACATCGGATTACCCAGGCTAAGCAGCAGGGCAGCGTGCCACCAGGCGGGACAGCGGGCACCGGCCACCGCCCCCGGGCAGAGGCAGCGGCACCGGCTCCCCGGGCAGCGGGCACCAGGCCCCCCGGCGGGGCGACATGCACCGGGCCCCCGGGCGGGTGCCGACGGCATCGGAACCCCCAGAATGGTAGCGACAGGTCTCGTGCCCTCAGGCGGAGGCGCCGGGACCCCAGGTGGAGCGACAGGTCTTCGGGCCCTCAGGCGGAAGCGGCGGGCGACGGGACCCCCAAGGTGAGAGCGACAGGTCTCGGGCCCTCAGGCGTAGCGGGTGGGCGCCGGACCCCCTGGTGGTAGCGACCAGGTCCTTCGGGCCCACAGGCGGAGCGGTGGTGCGTCCGGACCCCCAGGCGGAGGCGACAGGTCTCGGGCCCTTCAGGCGGAGCGACAGGTCTCAAGCCCCCAAAAGGTCGGGGCGGGCGGCAGCTCCCGGACCCCCAGGCGGAGCGGCGGGCGCCGGACCCGCCAGGCGGAGCGAACAGGTCCTCGGGCCCCAGCCAAAGCGGCGGGCACCCAGTCACCAGGCACGACAGTG